CTTCCCTCCTTCCTTCCACCATCATCTCCTTCCTTCCTCTCTTCCTTCCTCCTTCCCTCCCAGTAAGTGGTGTTCTTCCCTTCGAGGATTCAGTTGAACGCCTTCTCCCCTTCCTTTCTTTCCAGCTGGAGAACGCCAAGCTTCCTTCCTTCCTTCCTTCCTTCCCTCCCAGTAAATTGTGTTCTTCCCTTCAAGGATCCCGTTGAACGCCTTCTCCCCCTCCTTTCTTTCCAGCTGGAGAACGCCAAGCAGTCGGCCGAGAGAAACAGCAGCATGGCCGGGGCGGCCCACGAGGAGCTTCAGCAGACACGCATTCGCATCGACAGCCTGTCGGCCCAGCTGAGCCAGCTGCAGAAGCAGGTTGGGGTTGCTTGAAGCGAGTGGCGAGAACCTGGTTGCCCTTCCTAGCTCACTGACGTCCTGGAAGCAATGAATCCTCCTGTCCTAAATCTTCCCTTTCAAACAAAAAGTCAAACGTGTCTGGTGAAATAATCATGGGACGCTGTTCAAGGCAGTCCAGTGCTGTCCAATTAACTCCAAGGCAGGGAAACCTACATTTGCCTCGCCAGGTGGAATAGGCCTTTCCACCTTTGCTTTAACCATTTCTCTCTCTGTCTTTTTCCCAGTTGGCAGCTAAGGAGGCCAAACTTCATGACCTGGAGGACGCGCTTGCCCGGGAACGCGAGACCAGCCGCCGTATCCTGGCCGACAAGGAGCGGGAAATGGCCGACATGCGAGCTCGCATGCAGCAGCAGCTGGATGAGTACCAGGAGCTGCTGGACATCAAGCTGGCCCTGGACATGGAGATCCATGCCTACCGCAAGCTCCTGGAGGGCGAGGAGGAGAGGTGAGTACCTGAGAAGATGGGCGTCAGAAAACCATCATCCTAGAGTGGTCAGATAACAAAACCCTTTTTAATAAATTGGTGTACAGTAGGACCCACACAGAGAGAGAGAGCAAAAAACAAGGAAACTTTTTCACATACATTACCAGAACTGGCCACTAGAGGGGACCAGAGAACATGCTATGTATTCTTCACTCAAAAGTATTCATAGCATGGTCTCTCGCTCTCTCTAGTGGCCATTTCTGGTAATGCATGTGAAAATATTTTTTCTGGGTTTTTTGTTTTAATATTTTCAGACAGTGGATAAGTGAAAATGTGAGTATTGATGTATTTGTTCGTTCATTTATTTATTCATTGAAATGAAGAGTGAGTGACTATTTAACAACAACAAAAGTGTTTGTCAACAGAATTTTTTCCAAGCCCAAATCCTACCAGGAAAAAGGGTTGAAAGAATGAAGCTTATTGCTGGATTTAAAGCTGTATGGAGGATGTTATTACTGATTTTGTGGGATGGTGATACTTTTTATAGTCCGAATTCTACAGGGATTATCCCACAAACAGATTCAGTGCCGCGGATGGTTTGGACTAAATCTCAGAACGGATTTCCCTGCCACCCAACTTTGCTGAGGGGAAGGTCTTGGGATCCAGAGGCGTCTCCCCTCCTCATCCGTAAACGACCTCTTTCTGTCTCCCTCCCGCAGGCTGCGCCTCTCCCCCAGCCCGTCCTCCCAGAAGAGTGGCTCTCGCACCCGCATCTCGCACTCCTCCATGCAAGGCTCGTCCAAGAAGAGGAAGCTGGGCGACGGGGAGAGCCGCACCAACTTCTCCCACCACGCCCGGACCAGCGGCCGCGTGGCCGTGGAGGAAGTGGACCTGGAAGGGAAGTTCGTCCGTCTCAGGAACAAGTCAAACGAGGTGGGTGTCAGGACTGGGTGGGGGCCGGGAAAGCTCAAAGCTTGGGAAGTTTCAGGAATACCACAGGGCCCCTGTATCGTTCCAAAACCCTTCCCCACAGATGCTAAAAACCGTGGATGGTAGTTAGCGCTATATACAGTGGTGCCTCGCTTAACGAGCGCACCGTTTAACGATGAATCCGCATAGCGACCCGGGTTTTGCGGTCATTAATGCGATCGCATTGTGATGTTTAGATAGGCTAAACATTGCATTGCGATCATTTCTGCAGCTGGCGGCCATTTTGGGAACAGCTGATCGGCGGTTCCAAAATGGCCGCCGGGTGCAGAAAATGGCTGCCCGCACCATTTTTGCGCCCTCCCCTTGCTTACCGGGCAGTGAAAATGGCGGCCAGATCCAGGATTCTTCACTTACTGGTGAGTTTTTCCCTAATAGGAACGCATTAAATGGAGTTTAATGCGTTTCTATGGGTTTTCCCCGCCCGGAGAGCGAAGAATCCGAATAGCGACGTTAATCCTGGAACCCCCCTTTTACTGTGCTATACAGTGGTGCGGGCCACCACTGTATAGCACAGTAAAAGGGGGAGAGGGAAAATTAGAAACCTGTATTTTCACAATATATTTACCAGGACTGGCCACTGGAGGGAGCCAGAGACTGCTGTGTATTCTTCAACACCAAGCATACGTTCCCTACCGTGGTCTCTGGTTCCCTCTAGTGGCCAGATCTGATAAATACATTGCAGCAATAGTTTCTAGTTTTTTCTTTCTTTCTAATATTTTTAATATTTTCAAACTCTGGATTGTTGACGCCGAGGATACGGATCCTATGGCTACAGAGTTTCTACTCAAATTGTTTTTGCCTCCTTGTGCTAAATAACGGGAGCAAATTACTTTTAACATGGCATGCCAGCTGCATGAGATTCTGGAGGCTTGGTCTAACCTCCGTATAGGGTTAATAAACTGACGGAGCTATCCAGCAGTTCAGAATAATTCGTAATAATAATCTCAGAACTATAGAACTGCCGCCTGCCGCCAACTCAAGGGGGACGGACTCTGGTGACCGTCTCTGTCTGCTTGTTTCCCTAGGACCAGTCGCTGGGCAACTGGCAGATCAAGCGCCAGAACGGAGATGACCCAGCCTTCACCTACCGGTTCCCGCCCAAGTTCACCCTGAAAGCCGGCCAGGTGGTGACGGTGAGTGGCTACTGCGCGGCCCCTTAGCGTGGCGGGTGGCTGACCCTTTCCCGGCCTCGGGAGAAGAGGCCGGCTGGCCGGCAACTCCCACAAACGCGTCACTGGTGCACAGAGCCCGGATGTTTTTAACGGGGCGGTTTGTCCTCTCCTCCTCCTCCCCTTTCCCCAAACGGCAGATCTGGGGCTCCGGAGCAGGCGTGACCCACAACCCGCCTTCCGACATGGTGTGGAAGAACCAGGCCTCGTGGGGCTGCGGAGACAGCCTGCGCACTGCTCTCCTGACCTCCTCCGGAGAGGTGAGACTCGGGACCACGAACGCCGGGGGGGGAGTGCCCGGGAGGGGGCGCGTCGACCGCCTGGTCCTCAGTGAGGCCAGAGAAAGAGAGAGAGATGCTTGTTCAGAGCAGATGATGGAAGAGGAGCCGGAGATCAAAACGGTTGCCCTGGTCTCCCCGTTCGGTGCTTCCCTTGTGTTTTTGGCTGATGGTTCTGCTTGGAAGGTCTACTCGGGACCAAGGCTCGGATCCGGAGTCTCTTCTGCTCCTGGTTCTCTCCGCTCTGTGCCTTTCCCCGTGATCCCCTTTCAGCCCGTCCCGAAAAAAGCCAAGCCTGGTGCTTTCTGGTGCCCTGAACGCGTCTCCCTTTTCCTCCCCGCCTGCTCTTCCCAGGAGGTGGCCATGAGGAAGCTGGTGCGCACCGTGATCATCAACGACGAGGAGGAAGAGGAGGAGGAGGAGGAGGAAGACGGCCTCCATCGCCACCACCACCACGTGAGTTCCGGGAGGGTCTCGGCCACCACCTCCAGAACGGCGACCACCACCTCCCTGCTCCGCCGCGGGTTTCCATAAGCGCGGCTGGCGAAGGGGCGGGATCCTGACCCCCCTCTGTCCATCTGGACAGAGAACGGGGATCCCGTCCCGGTGGCCTCCGGTGCCCTCCTGGACGTCTCTCTTAGAGGCCCCGAAAGAGGGGGAAAGGGCCGGCGCCCCGAGATCCCCATTGCGTGCGGTTAAAAAAATTGTACAAACGTGTTCCCAACGTTGTCTCGACCATCAGAATCATGAAATAAAAGGAGAGACCAAACCTGAAATGATGATGTTTTACTCAAGGCCGATGCCGGAAATTAGGGTTTGTGGGTTGTTCTTTTTTTAATGGGAAGCGTCAAAAGCGACGAATGCATATCTCTGAGGGCCAAAGGTGTGTGTCGTTAAAATATATTTATATAAACAGCGTTAGCTGCGGGGTTTGTGGGTGGAAGTTTCTGCGGCGTGTCTTCAGAGAATCCGTGGCCCCAGGGGAATGTGGGTTGTTTCGGCACGTGGTGGTGTTGCAGTGAGCGGCCCTAATTAAAGGGTCGCAGCTTGCACACAAGAGAGACCTCAACCAGGGGCCGTTTACCGCTGCAGTCTATACCGTGGACACGTATGCCAGCGTCAGTGGCCCTACAGGACCGTGGCCGACGGCTTCTGTTCAGAGTTTTCCCAACAGTGGCCGGTGGGTGGAAGCAGGAGAGGTAGCAAGTTCGTCAGAGAATCAGAGGCAATCAGGGCCGTCACCCACCCTTGGGGGGAGCGGGACCCCCCAGATTTTTACAGACCCCCTTTAGCAGAGACGGATCCGTGTGCCCTGGGCGCAGGTCTTAACCATCCTCCTCCTTCAGCCATCGTTGGGAAAATGTGTGTCGCGAGGTCTTCCGTCCGCGGGCCAACCGAGAGGGCTCTCCTCCTCCTCCTGCCCCTCGTAGAACAGGGGAAAGGGGGACTTGTCAGCTGGGGGGGGCATTTTCCAGCCTCGCAGCCTTCTAGAAGTTGGCATTTGGACTGAAAATCAACTCAGAGGAAGATAGAGCCAAGCTGAATGTTGGCTGGACATCTTCTCCCGTGTGTGTGTGTGTTTGGTTTTTGTGGGTTTTCTCAGACTGCCTTCTGTGGTAAAACTTCCAAGAGTCGAAAAGGGTACATAATTTTTGGCAGAAAACCTTTCAGTGAGGGGGAAAGTTTGGAGGCACCATGAAGGATGTTTGGTGGGCAGGTGGGAGACTCCGTGGCCACCACGGCCCGCTGAGCCACGAGGAATACCACCACCCCCACGGGGCACCCCTTTCCGTGGTCTGACAGCCAGTTTCTACTAGACCGGGTGATCGTGTAGGGGGCACGTCTGTAGGGTCGGCACCCTCCATGTAGGTTCAAGTGCTAAATAAGTATGGGTGATGATCCCTGGGCAAGGCCATCATCACCCATCCCGCGCAGCAAGGATGCACCCTGGCAACCACGAGGGCAGCCCCAAGAGGTGGGGGTGAGGGAGCCTTTAAATGCAAAGGAGCACGGATGGATGGATGGATGGATGGACATTAAAGGCAGTATTGGGTCAGAAAAGGTGATCATCCAGGGAAAAAATCCTGTAATAAGTTTCTGTCACTCAACACACGAGGGCAACCCCTTCCTTTCGCCCTCCTTGCATTTCCAGAAACACTGCAGAAAACGCACCTCTTACGGGACGAGGCAAGAGGGTTCCGGAAGCCCCCCCCCCCGAGNTTGCTGATGCCGAAGACTCTCTTCCCCTCTGGCGGATTCCGTTTTTAAGGGGGAAACTGAGATGGGGGTAGCAGGCGCTTGGCTGTCCTTAAGCCACGCAGAAGCCGGTAGAGGATGGAGGGGCTGCAAGCGGGGCTGCGGCCGTTCTCTCGGGGGTGACCGTCTGTTTTCCACCAAATGGGCGTCCGAAAAGTTTTGGAGCGAAAGAGTGCGTGAAAGCAACGGAGAAAAAGGAGAGATCCTGAACCCCACCAGCCAGGACCTTGAATGGCGCTGGTTGGCTTTCCCTGTTTGGTTTTTCCTGGTTGCGCCATCCTCTTGACCTGCTTTCCACCCGTTTCATGGAGGTCCTCTCCTTCATCGCTCGGCCCTGTCCCCTGTGGAGTGCGTGCGTGCAAAATCTAGTTCCAAAAATCCCTCTGAGCGACCTGGGGCCACTCTGGAAATCCAGAGCCAGGATCCCGCATCTCCTTTACAGTTCACAGCCATCACTAGGGAGAGACTCTGAGTCTGGCCAGCCTGGACTGGAAGCCGGAGAGGATGGACATGGCGGAAATGGCCGTTCCCATGTCTTTGGGGATGCTCGTCTCTTCAACTTCAAACAGTTCTCCTCTAAAGCAGCCCCTTTCAGGGTCCAAGGGGTGGGAGGTCTTTTGACTTTGCCGGCCGTTCGGCCTGTTCGGTCTGCAGAAAGGGTGCCATCGATGTGGCTTCCAGAGGGTTTCAAGAGGTATTGCATTGCTCTGCGTTGTTTTCCGTTGCCTTTCCTCCCTTGTCTTTTTTCCCCCCAGCAGAAGGACCCCGAAGCGGCTCAGAGGTTGCACCCCAAACACGGCCGTGAAGATCCGCTTGTAATTCTAGCAGCCGCCCGACACACAAATAAGAGACCGGGGGGGGGGAGCAGAATTAGGAAGAGGAAACACTGCTACGTTTCCTCAGGCGACCAAGAGGAATCTGGGCTTCTTTGCGCCTCCAGTTCCGGATCTTGACCTTTTCCGTCTTCTCCCTCCTCCTCCTCCCCCCCCTAGAGCCACTGCAGCGGATCGGGCGACCCCGGCGAGTACAACCTGCGCTCCCGCACCGTCCTGTGTGGCTCCTGCGGCCAGCCCGCGGACAAGACCGGCGGCGTCGGTGGCAGCACCACCAACGCGGGCACCAGCACCCTGTCCTCCGGCTCCTCCTCTTCCAGCCTCACCATCACGCGCACTTACCGCTCCGGGGGGACCTCCCTCGGGGAGGGTCTCCTGCCCAGGAGTTACATCTTGGGGAATTCCAGCCCACGCCAGCAGGTCAGTCCTCGGTTTGGGGCTTGGGGGGAGGAGATACACGGGGGTCACCCCTGTGACTCGCCGGACCAGCTTTTGAGAAAGAGCTGGCCCCGATCTCTGGGGCGCTGCAGCTGCCAGCCAGAGCTGGGCGTATGGGGCTAGGCCAGGGGTTCCCCACCTTGGACTGCAACTCCCAGAAGCCTTTTCACCACCTGCTGTGCTGGTCAGGGTCTCTGGGAGTTGTAGTTCAAGAACATCTGGGGGCCCAAGGTGGGGACTTTAAGAAACCATCGGGGTTTCAGTAGGGAGAAAACAGCCTAGAGTGTCGTGTGCCGTGTTTCTGAAAACCACCCGTAACATCTGGGGCTTCTTCTTCTTTCCTGACCCACCTAAAGAGAGTTAATATCTGTTCCACATTCTGAGCCAGGGGCTCTTAACACTCCCTGTGTTCTGCCCCATCTGTCAAACAGTCCAAGAAAGTGGGTCGCGGCTGTATAGAAGCCATCAATTATATTCGTAGCTTCCTGGCATTCTCTTCTTTTGCTTTTATTGTATTTGATGGTAGTGATGGTAGCTGCCTAGAGTGGCCTTAATCGACTAGATAGGCAGGATATAAATTAGATAGATAGATAGATAGATAGATAGATAGATAGATAGATAGATAGATAGATAGATAGATAGATAGATAGATAGATAGATAGATAGATGCACCCAACTCTGCTCTGGATGCAGCTTTCTATGAGCTCTACTTCGCCACCCTGCGCAGGATCCCTCGGTGTTTCTCTTGACACCTTTTTTCCCTCTCCCCTCTTCACAATAGGGTCGGATTTCTCCCCACCAACACACATACATTTACTCCTGCAGGTAATGGAGTTCCCAGTTTAGAACCAATTTCACAATTACCATTTTACTTACTGCTACTTAAAACTATCAATTCCCATCCCCTTGACCTGAAAATAAATAAATAAAGAGGTCAGTCGCATTATAATTCTGAGGGGAGCCCCAGTTTGCTTTGGGGTTGGTCGCCCAGAGACCCGTGAGGCGTAAAGATGACCAAGTAGCCTTAATGGTTTCGTAATGGTTGTTGTGGGGTTTTCGGGCTCTTTGGCCGTGTTCTGAATGGTCTCCCTTGGTTGTTTTGCTGGCTGGCTGTTTATGGGTTTGGTCCTTGGAGGACAGAGAGCGGGCAGAGAGGAGATGATGCACCCTCCAGGAACTCTCCCCACCATGAAGGGCAATGCACGTTCCCATTATGGAGGCGCCAGTTGGAAATTTGCTTAACCCTCTGCTTGGAAGAGGGGGCTTTGAAACTGGGTTTGATTCGCCCCTGCCTTCCACAGCCGAAGATGCCAGCTCCAGTTTTGCTGGGGCGCTCGACCCACTGTGGGTTTTATTCCGAACTCTAAAGGTGCCAAACTCTAAAAGGTGGGTTTAGGAGGGTGAGCGAATGACACACAGTTGGGAGTGTTCGGACTAAAACCCAGAGCGTTTCCATCTCAAAATCTCACCAGGTGGGCACAGGTAGTTTGCAGGAGAAGGGAGGAACCTGTGCTTTTTTACAAAAGGACGGGCTTTTGGGGAGCCGTCAACCAATTCTTCAGTGGTTTCAGGACGCAATCCAATACTTCTCCTTTCTCTCTTTTCTTTTCCAGGGTCCTCAAAACTGCAGCATCATGTAATCTCCCTGTTTCTCCCTCCCCGATGATGATGCTTAACACAGCTTGTGCAGGAAAAAGAGAAGGAGAGGGAGGGAGCAAGGGGAAAGAAGAGAAAAGATTTTTAAAGAAGTTATTTTCTACAGCAGGAATTTATACTTTATTATATGTAAAATGCTAAAGATGCTTCAGGGGTTTTTTTAAAGGAGAGAAAAAAAAATCTTTTTTTTCTATAACAAGGAAAACTTATATTTAAAAAAGCCAAGCCAAAGATGTTATTACCAAAAAAAAAAAAAAAAAAAGAGAGAGAGAGAGAGAGAAAAGAATGTCATTTATGGTTCGATAATGCTTTAGATAGCTGTGTTTATATCTATCTGGCTTTCTGCTTGTAAAAGGAAAAGCCTCCCGTTCGAGTCAAGCCTCTAAGATTTGTCTTGTCCTCTCGAGGCAAACTCTGAAGGGTTGTTAGGGGTTTTTTTTGCACTTGAATGTCTCCCTGTGGGATGTGCTCAAAGCAGGAATTATTCCTGTATCGCACCTTAGTTAACAGCAGCCGCGCTCCACCGTAAAGCCACACACCCGGGAGTAGATGGCCTGGCTCAACCGCGCAGACCGCTTCCCGTTCGGGATCCGGTTTGCGTCTTCATTTTGTACTGATTTTCCCATTTGAAATTCTGCACGGGAAACACAAGGCTGTGCTTAATCCAACCTAGATCCGTCCTGTTTAATTCCGGACTGAGAAACCTGCATCGGGAGACTGGCAGGGGGTTCGGATTAAAATCCAAAACGGCCTTCAGTCATCAGCCCAGGTTCTAAAACCAGTTCTCCCAAATTTTGGGTCAACATTGAAATTCAGATTTAAAACCAAATTCAGTTTTTAAGAAACATAGTGGCGCCTTCCCTTTTGCAACGCAGAAAAGACACTTCCTTCAACCGGTTTGAATCCAGATTTGGCTGCGTCTACATGGGACGTGGTTGCACTTTAAAAAAATCAAAATCTGGACGAACCCCTTCCACGCGAAACTTCGGGCGTGGGATCAAAACATGCCCTTTCGATGTCCCGCTTGACTGTTTTCAAAGACGATTGTCTGTTTTTGCTTTACAGGATGTTTAGATATTTACCGTAAAATTGGGGAAATGCCGTGCTTTGGGAAACGGCATTGACTCTGCTCCCTGGTTTGGAAAGGGGAGCTTGTCGGCAGCTGAGGCTTGGCAGCTACCGACTCCAAAATCTCTGGAGACGACCCCCACCCCACCCCGCCCCTTCTCCTTGCCTTGCTTGGCTTGAGCTGCTGCTGCTGTTAATCCCCACCCTGCCCATGCCAACCGCTATAGCGCTAGAACGGACGAGATCCCTGCGGCCGGGTTGATGCTTATGTACTGTATTGTTCTTCACGGTGGTGCATTTGAGGGTGACGGCGGTGCCGACATGTGCCTTCGGAGGGAGGTTGGTGGCCTTAGACGGGGTGAGGGAGAAAGATGGAGGAAGGACAGGATTCAAACCCGGAGCTTTTCCCTGATCAGGCTTCCTATCCTCCGTCCTGGTGCAGAATCCTTTTTCCCGTCGCCCGAAGCCACATCCCAGCACAGCCCCTGGACGCTTGCCTGTTGTAGCTTCCCTCCACACCCACAGAAAAGGTGATCCTTCCATGTCCCTAAAGGGGTTTTTTTTTAAAACAGAAAGTTGAACTTAGGATAGCTGAGAAGAATGTGCCTTGATCTGAGCCCCGGGGGGGGGCTTGCCACATTGAATGTCTCCCCAAACAGCCGAGTCTTTTGAGATGCTGAGAGCAGCACTGGCCAGAGGGTTTTGCTTCTTAGACACAGAAGCCTGAATCCTGGAATCCCAAAGTGGGGGGGGGGTGAGAGAACCCTCTCTCATGGAGTAAAGTGGGGCAGCCCCACAGAAATCTGTATCTCTACTGCCTTGCCCCCCCCAAAAAAAAGTGGCTGGAGGGATCGGGGAGGGATGTCAGCCACCCAGATGTCGGCTTGCAGCTCCTGGCCCCTCTCTTAGTGAAGGAACCTGGGAGGGGGGGTGCGTCTCCCCCACATCTGGGGGGCTGCCACCCGCCTTCCCCTGGTTCCCTCTGCCGGTCTCCTCCTCCACCTTTCCCCTAAACCTCTCAGCAGGAAAGGCATCCAGTTCTGGCTGAGTGTCATCATTTTCCGGGGAGCATCTCCGAGGTCCTGCAGGAAAAAGGGTGATCCGTTTGGCCCCTCCAGCCCATGCTCGGTAGGAACGCAGAATGAAAAATCAGAGAGAGAGAGAGAGAAGGTCGGTTTTGAGGGTTCCCCCCTCCCAGCCCAAGCAGGGGCCCCGGATCAGCCACCTTGACACCCCCCCCCCAGATTATTAGACGGTTGGCTGACGGGGCGTTTTGGCACCACGTCCAGGGGGGCAGCTCTGGGGAAAAACCCGCCCAATGCCTTAAGCTGCAGCCGCGCCCGGCGTTTCCCAAAGATCCGCCAACGAGCTGTACGTCTAATGTTGTGTCCATGAGAAGCGACTGCTAATTGTTTCCTCTGTTTGCCGCTGGTTTTGGGGTATCCGAGGGCGGGTCGGCCAAGCCCGGTGACACCGATCCTTTGGCCGGAGTCCAGCGTTTCTGTTATGTTTTTTTCTCCCCTCCTAAAGCCAATACAAGTTAACAAAAAGTTTACTCCACCTTGTCTCCTGTGGTTCTTTCTTCTGCCAGCTCCAGTTGGAGAGAAGACTCTCTTTTTTTGGGGGGGGGGACATCCTTCCAGGGTGGGTGGGAGCCTCTCAAAAGCGTGGGGTCCTGAGCCCAAGAAGGAGGGGTGACCCGCTGGAGACCCCCAAGGCCAGCCTGGTTCGGATCCAGGGCGTGGGCTCCCTCCACCTCTGGCACCTCCCTGTAAGAACGGATTGGGGGGGGGAGAATCTCTGCATGGGTCCTTTTGTGCAGGAGGAAAACGGAAAGCCAGGACGGTGTCCTCCAACAGATACACCAGGCAAGCCGGCAGACCCTAGCCCTTGAAATATCAGGTCTCTAGGTGGGTAGGGGCCTTGGGCAGCCACGTTTTAGAGGCAGAAACGCCCTGTTATCAGGTGCATTTTAATTTTTTTAATTTTGGGGGGGTCTGGAGACAGGGGCTCCAAACAAAACTGCCTTCGGGCAGCCACGTTTTGGAGAAGTTCAGAGCTGGTCAGCAGGGCGAAGGTTGGCCCCTGTCCTCCTGAAAAGGGGGGGGTTCTTGTGCATAAAACTGCAAAAACCCAAAGAAGAGTGGGCTTAAAAGTTATAGAAGGAGCGAGGGGACTTTTTGTAACATCTGAGAGCGAATGGCGGCTCCATGGGGCCATGGAGAAGTTCAGAGCTGGTCAGGAGGGCCGAGGTTGGGCCCTGTCCTCCTGAAAAGGGGGGGGGTTCTTGTGCATAAAATTGCAAAAAACCCAAAGAAGGGTGGGCTTAAAAGTTATAAAAGGAGTGAGGGGACTTTTTGTAACATCTGAGAGCGAAATCCGGTTGGGACTTGTACCAGGTGTGGCCACAAGAGGGCGCCCTTTGCTCTCCTTTCCCCGCCAAGCGCCTCCCTCTCTAGGAGGTGCTGCAAACCATGCCTATCCGGAGGATGGTTTCCAGAGTTGTGACTACACTCCCCATTATCCCCAGACTCAGGGCTGTATGTGTGACACTGAAAACTGTTCCTAAGAACATCCATGTTGCCTCATAGGGTGATAAACCAGTGTGAAGTTCAATGGGGACTCTAGGGGTCATCTAGTCCAGCCCCACAATACTGAATCGGACCTGTGGGGAGCCCCCCAGCAGGGTACGAGTGCGAGTCCACCTTTCTTCTCATGTCCTCCATCAGCCGATAGATACACAGACCTACTTCCTCTATTACCGGCCATGATCCCTACCCAACATGGTAGCCGGTCCTCCTCGAGGCCACGCAGTCCTCTTTTAAAAGCCATCCAAGCGGGCAACCGTCACAACATCCGTGGCAACGAAATCCTGCACTTTGTACTTGGCAAAGAATCATTTTCACGCTTGCCACCCATTGAATCCTGGGAGTTCTTCCTCTCGAGAAAAGCAGAAGTCTCTAAAGACCTTTCTCTTTAAATGAACCACAAGACATCTCTCTTTTTTAAAAAAGAAAAAACGTACACGGTTAGGTAATAACTTTCTTCCACCCTCTGAACTTCACAAATGGATAAGCTTTGGAGTTTAACAAGACTCTTCTTCCAGCCGGCACGCTACAGAGCTAAGAGAGGGGAGAAGTAGACCGTTTCTTTTGGCAAGGAAACGGCAAACCTTTAAAATGCCACTGCCTGTCATTTAAGAATCGATCCTGAAGCTTCCACCTCCGGCCGGGATGATTTTTGGACAAGGTCTTCAACAGCCATCCTGATGAAGAGTCCGGTGAGACCCAGAAGCTTGCCCATTGAAAAGACCGACGACGTTTTAGAACATTTTTTCACAAGTTGTATTTTGCAGTACACTAAATTACAATATTTTAAAGCTTGCAGACCTCTACCTGGGGGCCACTCGCTCTGTTTGTCTTTCCTGTTCTTCCAAACACACACCTCTCTCTCTTTTTTGACAATCACTGCAAATCCATGCTGGTGCATCTGTGGTCTGCGCCAGTTTTGCTTTTTCCCAAGAATACTCCTAGATAATCAGCAGAAAGAGGTTTCGTGTCTGGCTTTACAGGATGGCCAGTCCGTCCTGGGGAGCATTAAATTTCCAGATAAATGATGTGTTCATCGGGGCCATCTCGAACCTTAGCTTTCCCGTCATTGAAAAGGCGGGACAGCTTTGTATCCTTCTTTCCTCCTCTGTGCAAAACAAGAGAGCATAATTCGGAACAGACCAGTCTCAGATTTCGCTTGCCAGGGGGAACTGCTGAACATTTGCGCACGGACGCACATATATACACATACACACACACTGGAGCGCAACCAGCCCACGGAGAGGCCTGCAAAATTGGAGCACAACCAGCCCACGGAGAGGCCTGCAAAATAATAATAATAATAATCAAATCCTTCTGGATTGTGAGTCACATGGAAGGATGACCTTCCCTGCTCCGTATGTCGGCCTGCGGGGTGCATAGCCCTCGGCTTGTTTCTGGAGCCTTGCCCACGTCCTTTTTAATAATGGGCGCATTATACTCATATGATGCGCCAGCCTGCTTTGCCTGGCCCAGAAAACCTTGTGGAAAGGCGGCTGTGTGATGGGAAACACACACACACACACCCTCTCCCCCCCCTTGCCTCTTGCTTGGCCCCTAAGAAACAGCAGACAAGCGGAGGGGGGGGATCTCCAGAGGCCGGCGATAAAAACCCATTGTGACCCAGGCTTTTCCCAGTAATCCTGCCCAGAACTCAGCCGCCTTGGAATGAGGTCACGTGCGTGGTGTGTAAAACACTCCCCAGTGTGTGTGATAAAAAACGGCAAGGCAAGAGAAGCAGGCTCTCCTCCGGAGTGTTGATCTCACCCGGGAAGTTGTGAAAGACCTCGGGAGGGTTTCTCTGCCAGCCGGCACAGGGCTGGGGGGCAGTGCCAAGCAGTGCCCGCCTGGCACCGTCCGCTTGGCCCGGAGATTTCGGCCACCCTAATCCTTCCAGGGAGACTCAGGAGGTTGGCGAGAAGGGAGGAAGGAGGGCAAGCCCTGGAGCATCAAGTTTGGGAGAAAAGAGAAACCACCACCGACACGGCCGTCGTTCCGTTCTCGCTGGCGTCTTTTAACCGCCTCTGTCCGGGGTGGGCATGCCAACCCAGCTGGCAAGGGACCCCGGGAGCCGTCCGACCAGGGTGCAGCCGGGTGAGTTGTGTGACCCTTCTTTCGTGGCCTCGGGGAAAGGTGGGAGAGGCGTGTCTCTCTCCGAAGAGGAAGTGCCTCTGTCTGGCCAGGGGTGACCACCAGAGTTTTGCACCTGTGGGTGTGCCATAGGTGGCACATGGGCCTTGTTGTGGGGAGGTGGAGGGCAGGAGGACTTGTGGGCCTCCCATTAACGCTCCTCAGGGTCCAGATGTGGATGTTGTTCCTGAGGCGTTCAAGCATGTGCCGGCCTTGCCGGAGAGGCCGCCGGGCACCACCAACCCCCGGGGTGGTCGCTCGGTGCAGAAATGGGTCACCGTTTAGGGGTCACCATTCCCCTAAAACGTCCCTGTGCTGATCTTGAGGTATCGGTGCAGCTTTTCTAGAACAAAAAGCCAATTTTATTCTAACACACACACACTTTTTCTCGTGGCGCTTGTCCTTGCGGATTCTCATGATACCCCCCCCCCCGGCCTGATACCAAGTTGATTTCTTGTCATGCCCACAATTTATTTCCCCAAACGGCTGTCTGTGCCAAACATCGGGGGCCAAATGGCTTTGCAAAAGGAACTTTCCAGCTTCTCTCTCTTTTTCCCCCCGAAGGGAAGCTAATTAAGACACCCCTGTCGTCCGGTGGTGTGCTCCGCTCCCACGGATTCGCCTGGGGAACCATCCCAAACCACCAATTAAAACATCCCCTCGTTAATTCAGGATCCTTCTCAGCTGGGCCTTCTTTATCCCATTGCCCAGAAACCACCACCACCCTTCTGCACCTGCAGCTCTCCTGTGCTAGGAAAGCCTGGCTCTCCTCTATCCAGGCTGATGGTCAAGGTTGGAATCAGCGGTGCGCTGAGTCGGGAGACAGAAAGGGTGCTCAGACCTCTCCCGGGGGCCCTCAGCCCAGCCCGGCAGAGCAGGCTTCTGGATGGAGAGCTGGCAGGAGTGCCGCCTTCAGACATTCACAGAGCCATCATGTGGAAGATGGAGCAAAGCTGTTTTCAGTGGCTCGGGAGGGTAAGACCTGAACCCGAGGGTGAACGATGCCAAGAAAGGCGAAGAGCATCAAAACAAAGAAAAGGGGATACATTTTATTTTGGAAGGTTTCGAAGCTGAGGGTCGAGGGCCGCCGGTCAGAGATCCTTTTGAAGCAGATTGGTAGAAGGGGGTTGGACTAAATGACCTCCCGGTGACCCTCCTGACCTCACCGTTCTGGGATATTCGGGACCCTTTCTTCTGCCTGCAAAAGAGGAGCCCGGAGTCAGTATCTCAGGACTCGGGAGAGGTTTTCCACCTGAAACGGTGACGATGGGCCACTGTCAGTCCCTGTGGACGGGGTGGGGTGAACGAGGGCTTGAGGGCCAGGTTTCTGACCCCAGGATCTGAAACAAGGGGGCCCAGCCTCAAACTGGGGATTATCAGGGGTCTAGTCCTGGTTTTGCAAAATCTGTCGGTGGAGGGAGTCGAAAAGGTGGAGGAGGTGGTGTGCTTTGTTCCTGTCTGAGGCCTCCTCGGGTGCAAACATCCGCAGCAGAGGCCCATATGTAGTAGCCAGTTAAACAGATTCTAAAATACAGTGGGATTAGAAGTAATTTTTAAAGCACCTTGCCAATTTTATTTTATTTTTTAAATCCACTGCCCCATTTTGCTTGTCAAAACAGCTTTTGTTTGGGAAGGAACGTTTGAAAGGAACAAGGAACTACTTGCTCAGTGCATTTGATACGTTAACTTTACTCCTGCTTTCCAGTGTTGGTTTTGCAAATGTAACTTAGTTGCACCCTCATTAACCCCAAAAGGACAGGCGGCTGCCTGACTCCTAAAGTGTTGTTTTCTCCCACCAGCTGGGTGGTGAGGGTGATGTCCAAGCTGCTGCACCTGTGGAGTTTCTGCCTGGAGGGCTCTGCTGTTTTTAAAGGCACAGGAGCCTTTTAAAGCAAAGCTCTTTCCTTGCAAAAGAAAAGGACAGACGTTTGCAAGCAAAACCAGCTAAGAGTCTGGTGGCGCTTCAGAGAGTTTTATGGGCCCAAGCGTTCCCTAGCCTCCGGACCCTCTTTTTCAGCCACCTGAAGACAGAGCAAGCGACAGGTCGGGCCCAATGAAATGTGCTCCTCTTTCAGACGCCACAAATCATGCTTTTGGCTTCAGCAGAGAAGGCGGTGGCCTCTCTCCTTCCCGGGAAGCTTCTAAAACAGAGTGCTTTAGTTTACTCCTGTTGGCAAAATGGAGTTGGGCTAGATGACCTTCTGGGGTCCCGTCCGGATCCATCGTTCTTTGACTCTTGGCGAATCCAGTCACTCCCCTTGAAAACACCACGAGGCCGTTCTCTGGCCCGTCTCGGCTTTGCATCTTAAGGGATTTTTATTCCCCCAGGAAGAGCGGGCAAGCCGGGTGCCCCTCCCGAATCTCTGAGCGCCCTGATTCCCACGCTTCTCTCTCTCTCCGGCTTAGCATACCTTGGGCTCAGCTACTCAAGGAGCTTGGACCGGACGCCGGGCTTGCTATGAATGGATCCATTTGCGCCGAGAAAAATCTCTCGACTTTTCTAAAGCAAACGCAACCCCCCTCCCCCCCAAATCCTGATGGCCTTGGAAGCTCGTTCGAAAGACGCCACTTTGACTTTCATAGTGTCATTACTGAATATGCGCAAGATCGGGGAGGCCGGCCCTTAAGGGCAATGGAACGCCATTCCGAGGCAGCTAAGAAAGGCTTTGCTGAACATGAGTTGCAAAGTGGGCCCAGCAGGTCTTGCAAAGGCCTGGCACATGGACAACAACGTGGGCCCAGCTTGCCTAGAATACCTTTAGACAGGTATACTGCCTCCAAGGGTGGAAGCTCCACTTGGGCGGCCTTTATAGCTCATCCGGGCAGCTCGAGCGGTTGTTGAAGGCGCAGGAGCAGGCGACGGCTGTTTTTCTGGGTCAGTTGGTCCCCGCTGAGGGAGCCAGGTCGGCTGCGGCCACTCAAGGCTGCCCTTTGCACATGGTCAGAGAATCCTCTTTAACCATTTCATTTGCATCGTGACACAGCTTGCGCCCCTGGTCATGCGCCAGCCACACGACCAGGCACGAGACCATCGCTGAGCGGCGATGAGCCACTGTTCCCCTTGGAGTTTGATCAGTGCCCCAAATGTGGAAGAAAGGCAGAAATTCCCCCCCCCAAACAGGGAGCAAAATCCTGCCTCGGTCAGTTTGGACCGAGCTCAGCATCCTCCCCCAGGCCCTTGGCAAATGACCCGGATCCCTCCCGCCTTGAAAGAAACCTCACATAGCACCACAGGAGGATTCCCTTCCTTTTGGGAAAAAAATCCGGGTCGGATCCTTTCCTACCCTGGCCTGTTGGGCAGCTGTGGAGGCTTTTTGCTCAAAGCCCCGATGCCTTGTGGGTGGGGAGGCTGGAACATCTGGCGGGCAGACCCTTTCATTGTTCAAGGGAGCCTGGAAGCCAGGTCTGGTTCCGCCTCGTTGTGTCTCCCTCTGTTATCACTATTATTATTATTTTCCTCCAGAAGCCGCACGACGATGAGGTCCGGGTGGGGGGACCATGCGCCCGGTACCGCCTTTCTGTCCGACCCCTCCTGCTGGATCTGGACCTGGGGTTCGCCCTCGCCAGCCGGTTTCCTTTGCACGGCTGACAAGCGCCGCCCGGAGATCTGAGGCCTGGACCACGGCTGGAGGTAAGCCGTCGCTATGGCAACGCAGGGATGATGTTCGGGGGAGCAGAGCCAGCGGGCTCCTGCGTGTGGCGCGGGGGGGGTGGAGATGCACGTCCACGGAGGGGCTTTTCCTTTGCACGGTTGTAAAGCGGAGGCCGGTGTGGTAGAGAACCCACAAGGGAGCAGATCTGGGCCGGCCAGAGAGCCGAGCATCCTCCAGACCCTGCGAGGATCAAGATCTAGGTTGCACTGAACCCACCAGGTAAAAAAAAATCTCTCTTTATCTCTCTTCTTAAACATTGGATTTTCGTTGGGAAAAATGAAAAAAACATGTGACAGAGCCTGGGTGGCTCTGATGGGAGGTTTCACGGAGAAAGCATTTGGAGCAGATTAAGGAAATAAAACCCTTTCTGGGATTATTTTTTTTGGGGAGGGGGCTCATTGTTCTTAAGGATTTCCCCCGCCTGCGAGTTACGCTCGGAAGACCATAAATGCAGCCTCAGTAAAAATAAATAAATAAATAAAAAGTCATCCCAGGGTTTGTATTCTCTCGATTTCCCATCTTTGTAAATGAATGAGCCGGTTCCACGCTGGTTCGTCTTATGAATTTCAACGCACGTGCTTTTGCATCGAAGGGAGTTTTCCCGCACGCTAAGGGCAGCTCTTGCTGTAAAAAAAAAAAAATTAAATGTCTGGAGCTTTCTGTCCAAAAAAAATATTGTTGTCTTTCTGGAGGAGGTTTGGTGGTGGCTTTCCGCTGGAGCCGACGGTTCGGTAGACCGAGGTGGATTTGGGGTGGGGCGGCGTGGGTGGACGGACGGACAGATGAAGGAATCGGAAAACAGACTACTTTAATTTGATTTTTTAAAAAAAACTGGGTCCTTACATCTGGTTGGGTCCAGAAAATAGGCTCGTAGGTTGGCCTGAGTCTGGGTTCTTTCTCCCCGTCTTTGTGGGAATTATCCTACCCCATAATTCGCAAAGTCTAGGGTGAGGATGGTGGTGGCATTCAGCTGTCATGGGGAGAACAGGTTTGGGGGGGATGCCCACACACACCTGGGGGATTGTGGTCCAGGAGGGTCCCAACGCCTCCCACATCCAGAGGGCGACACATTCGTGGATGGGTCTCGGCGCCTCCCCAGCTGTGGAAAAATGAAACTGTCTGTTTTCCATCAAGTGGGGCTGCTCTCGGTTTGCTCCCCCGGGAGTGGATGATGGGGGATTAATTCCTGGGTGGCAGAAGCTGAGCCAAAGATGGCAGGGGGATCCGGAAGGCCCGAAAATATAGGATTATTTTATGGTCTGAGGGGAAAGGGACGATGCAACCAGAACCAGCTGGAGCCTTCCGCCTCACCAGGGAGAAAATGCAGGCAGGGTGGGAGGCGTGGATCAATATAATCTCAGAAACCGCTGGACGCAGTCCTCGGCTCCTCGTGGCGTTGGTCTGGTTCGCGGCTGTGAATCGGAGCCCCCGGGTGATGGTTGTACCCGCCGTCCGGACCAGCCATTGTGGGAATCGGTGCCCCGTCTAGCGCACCTGCCCCTCTTGTCCGGC